TCAAAGCCTATTTTTCATACTCTATGCTACTTGTACATTTTGGATCAAAAAGTATTGATGTTTCAATTTCCAGCCTTGATGATATCTGAAAATGAATGTGGTGAAAATTGGGATTTATACCTTTTTCCTTACGGAGAGCAGCGGCTGTGAGCAGTTTTCATGAAAGAAAATAAAACTTGCATAGCCATCTCTATATTGCACCAGTAATTGGGTCACAGCAATTTTACCTTTAAAAGAGAATGGATCCCAGTCTGTTTTCATAGCTGCCTTTTTTTGCTGTCACAGCTTTGTTCTGAATGTATTCTTTTCCAGTTTTAACAATGTAAGGGACGGTAAACATCTAAATCCAATTTCTCTGTTTGTGTTCCTCTGTTGGTGTTTCTCTGGGAACAACAAGATTTCTTCTAAGAACCAATTCTCTGCCATTAGTGTATTTTGGCCAGCCCTCTGGTACAAGAAGATGGCGAAAACAAAACTAACAGTTCAAACAGCCATCGCTTTTTATAGAGCTGAATTATTCAGGCACGATGGAAATAATACTTATAAATAAGTGTGGTCATTTATCAACTTTCAAAAGCCTTACTCTACCCATAAAAATATGCTATCTGAGGGAAAAGATTAACAAAACCTTAACCAATTCACAGGATCCAATTTAGAGCCCTGAGCAATGGTCAGAAAAACTGAGTCAAGAGGGGTTTTAAAACAAGACAGGATAAAAGACAGAGGACATAGAAGAAACGACTGGTGAAGGGTTAACATCCTTTTCCCACAACTTCCTCTTTAACCCAAACATCACATGGACTTTGTTGACAACATCTGAGGAGTGATGGATTGAGATTACACAATTTGCCATTAGGTTCTGTGTTTAGAAATCATCTAAGATGACAAGAGCCAGCTGAGAGAAAGGCCAATTCTGAGGCAAAGTCTTGCTGCAGCTCAACAACAGGCTCTCTGTATAAATTCTGTCTGGGTGCAATGTGTGAGTTATTCTTTCCTTTAAAAAAAAAAAAATTATATATAAGCAAATAATGCAGAATGCCTTGCAGGAAGATCAGTAAAATATACTGTACTAACTTGAATGAAAAAAATCTGGCATGTGTACCAAACAATTACATATCACTATACAAATCCAGGTGCATATTTATTCTGTTGTTAATAACAAATTTAGAGGACTGTACTTTCTAATTTCTAAATGTACCATAAAAAATATCTCCAACATGAGGAAACTAAAAAGTTCAACACTGCACTGTAATGAAACTAGAACAGACCAAGCAAACCAGCAGCAGTAGGACAACCCTGTTCACCCCCCAGTTTACATCACAGGCTCACATTTGATCTAATCCATACTATTTATTCTTAATCCTCTGGTACCCACCCTGTCTGTAGTTGGTCTTTTGGGACCAGGGAAGCTCTGCTAACAGCTTACTGAACATCCAGTCAGCCTCTTCTGGGGGAAGAAACCCAGGCAGCAGCTGCAGTCTGGACAGATGGAAAGACACCCCATCCCACGCACACACATGCACACGCACGCGCGCGCACACACACACACACACACACACACACACACAGAAAAGTAAGGTGGATACATTATTAGCTACGGTATGTAGCTAATAATGTTTATATAGGAGAGTCCATGGTGGCCTTTGGGTTTAGGCTACCAATCAAAAATCCCAGGTTCAAGTCTCGCCATGGACCTTTTTCTCGCACATCTATATTCTCTAATACAGCAGGCATAAAATTCCCCCAAAATAATAGAGAAAAAGGATAGTCAAGAATACATAGGTTATGGTTTGTGGGACAGGAAACTAACCTTTTCATTCATCAGCTAAATACTGGTAATAGTGATTTCAAAAGTTCAACATCCCCTTTCAGTTTAAAAGCATAATAGCTGGTTGTTTACAACAATGGTGTTTGACTAAAGTTGTAAAACAACAAGCCAAAACGATTTGGCAAGTGGCTGTTGTTACGGACGGTCTATGCTCGTTTAGAACAACTTGTAAGACGTGTTTTTCAACCATGTTGGGAATCAAAAGTGTTTATCGTTGTTATCGGAACTGAAATAACAATCTTTTTTCCATTTCTCTTTCCATACTTATTTCCAACACTCTTCTCTCATCAATCCACAGTCATGGTCACAGAATATTGTCTATAAGGTTCCTATGACTCCAAGCCTTAGTTTCTTTGCTCTTGGCTGTCTGTAATTTTGGTTGCTCTAGGTATGTTAGTCTTGATGGAAGCATTAGCTCAAGGCTCAAGGCCTAGAAAGTACATTGAAATATTCTGGCTGTCCAGTATGTCAATGTTACTACATATTCAGTCTCTATTAAAAGCATGGCTCACTTCCATGTGTCCTTGTGGGTAAGGTAAGTGAGTTAGAGCTACATACATTATTGCTTGTGGGATGACTGCCATCTAGTGGACTTCAAACCCAATCACAGATCTTCACTAAATGCATTGAGGTTTCCAAAGAAAGCAGCAAGCAGTTCTGAAGAAGCATACTGGCCCTTTAGTGCCCATTGATGTTTAAATGATACACATTATCTAAGGTTAGTAGTGGGATGATGTTTTATTCTCCTCTTTTTTAACTGATTTAACTCTTTTCCATTTACAGTTCCCTCTGACTGAGGATACCCTCTGAAAAACACTGCACTCACCTGGACACTCCTGATGGTCCATGGCTGATCTCATGATCACCTGCCTGTCTGTCCAGAGAGAGAATAATGCAGGTTAGCCAACCTGTGCATAGTATACAATCAAATAATGAGCCAAAACATAAGATAAGAGAGAGACGCAAATTTAAAATAGACAAAACCTTGAAATAGTCTATCCAGTGAAGATAGAAATGTGTAACTTACTCCATCACCATCTCTGGTGGAACATCTCTAATTGGCTGCAGTGAAGAAAGCACAGAGCAGAACAGGCTGTAAACGGCCACTTGAATTACCCCAAAATTCAAAGGTGACGTTTATGGTTTACCTTGGTGGGCTGGTGAAACTCAAATATCTTAGGTGTTTTCTGTGGCCCAAATCCCCAAGAAGCAGGGACTGGCTCGACACCTTTGGGTTGTTGTGTCTTTGGGACGGCACCTGGAAAATATCAGGCAGGTTAATAGAGCTAAAAAAATGTGTTAGTAATGTGTAAGTTTATATGTTTCAGTCAGACACAAACAAAATGTTTACACATCAGCATCCAAGGCCTATAATTTCAGTGAGGAGCAGGCAGAGGAAGTCACATACTATTAATACAACAGTACGTTGACCCTTAAATTACCTGTTGGTCCCGAGTGCTTTGGCTGTTGTTTGGCCCAGGAGCCCTGGACTCTGGCACGCTGACGCTTATCTGACATCACATAACATCTGAGGGGTGAAAATGTAGGCAGCGATCCAGAGATTTCAATCCGCACTTTTAAGAATTTCATTTAATTTGTAAAAAAAAAAAAAAAAAACACAGAACCACAGAATGTGCAGCACATGGCTGTCTGCCCTGCACAGGCCAGCAGTAAGGTTATCAGTGACAAGGACTGCAGTGGCATCCAAAATGTGGAGAACTATGCAAATAATTGTTCTGTGTGAATGTGTGCTTAGTAGTTAACTGTTAATGCTTTAATTTTGTAGTCCTTTGTGATATTTATTCTTTGTTTTACAGTTATGTTATCCAGTATGTGCTTATTTATGTGTCTGTGGTTATTTTAATCTATGCATTCCATTAATCTATGTATTCCACTGCATGTGCTTTTATGTAGTTTGTCTGCTTTTGCTTGTTTTGTTTTTTTTTAAACAAAAAAGTAAAACAGAACAGGCGATAAATCCCATAGACAAAACAATATAACGTTACAGAAATGGTAACATAACTATTTAAACAGTAAGGTAAGTTACTGATAATTGTTTATCTTACGTTACATTTCAATACCACAGTGACAGAACATTTAACAAATTCTTCATGGACTTAATAATTTATTGATAATTGCTGAAGTTATCAATCAAATGGGTGTTTCAGCTAACGTTTTTTTAGCTAAAATGGATAGCTAGCTAACGTTAGGTCGCCCCTATGCTAAGATAGCTAACGTTAAACCTACTTCAGGTTACTTCAATAAACACACTCTAAAGGTCAGAATTTAAAACAAATAGCAGACTGACTAATGTTGAACCAAATATTTCAACGTTACCAGAACTTGCTGCGAAGACGTCTGACAGTCATGGCACGTGTGTTACAAAAAAATACGTCCTACCCAGAACTGAGATGTGAACATTGGTTCCGTCCCATCCTGTGATCTTCTTCGTCTAAATGGCGACTTGCTATATATATATTTATATACAGTCCATCTTTCCAGAGTTGTTTGCAAAAATTGTTTTAATTCCTTCATTCATTCCTTTAACACCAGTCTGACATTTGAGTAAGGTTTTTTTAGAGCATACAAACATGTTCCATTTCATTGCAGGCCTCACAAGTTCCAGTGGGATGTTTTACCAATAAGGTGCAGAGGTGCATTTAACTTTATGTGACCCAGTAATTCCACCCCCACTTTCTGCTGAATATGGTATGAAAGCCTTTCTTTAGTATCCTTGTCCCATACACTCTGCCACTGCGTCCTCATTTTGTTCCATATAAGCTTTTAATAACCAGATCCTTCTTTCAGTTTTATGGCGGTGCCACTGAACACTAAATTGTTTTGATCATCCCAGTATAATGGAATTGCTGCCCTAACCTGAATGCAAATACATTTTTTAGACTCCGTTATTCTACTCTAAGCTTCCTGATGTCCATCTGATGTTTCCCCACTCTAAAGGATATTTTTGGCCAGTGGTGGACAAAGTATTCAGATTCTTTACTTAAGTAAAAGTCCTAATACCACACTGTAAAAATAAAAGTAAAAGGTTCTGCATTGAAAATGTTACTTAATGTAAAAGTATGTATGTAGATATAATCAGGAAAATGTACTTCAAGTATTAAAACGTGCACACACACACACACACACACACACAACCCAGGACAAATGTCAGTGCATTTTACATGTAGAAATTCAAATTTTAATTTCCAAGCATATTAAAACACTCTTTACAGAGGAAAAGCATTCACAAGGCAGCTTAGTTGAGGAACAGGTCAGACCAAATCATATGGAGTATTCAATTGTGCACCAACTGTATTAAGAAGAACAGTTCTCTTGTTTTGCAGCAAACATTTGGTAGAATGTGAACTAGTCTGTAAGTAAATGTGAAACCACAGCTACAGTAATGATGTAAAATATTCTCAATCCCTTTGAAATCCTTTCAAAACACACCGGATGTACAAAATTAGGTTTCCTTCATCTGTGAAAGGTTTACATTTTGATTAAAATAGGCAGAAAATTAAGCAACCGTGTCATTCACATGGACATAGCACCAGTTGAATTACATCCTTCCATAACACAGTTTTAACCAGTCGATACCCGATCACTGAATCTGACCATTTCCAGCATTAATGTCAGTAGAAAGGCACTTTTGTTTAATGCAACAGTGAATGATAACTATGAAAACTCTTTGGTTTAGAACAAGTCATTTGTGCAAAAACAACCCACCACAAAGTAACTTTTTAAATATACTGTAAACACACAATGTTATAGAAAAAAACAAAACAAAAAAAACCAATGCATGCCGATAATAGTTCCGTAAACAAACATAGGAAGTAGCCATCTTTAAATGGCTCAATGATTTGTAAACAGGTTGAAAGCTAGTCTAAAAGGTCTGAGTTTGGCTCGTGTGTTCATACGAATATAAAATAAATAATTATACATATATAAAAAAAGATGCCCACCACCATTTTCCACTGCTTACAACAGCAGGGTAAACAAATCATTTTTGGTTGTATATTTCCACCATCAGTGTCAGTGACAAAAAGTATTAATGGTATTTGCCAAGAGCAGCAATTTTATTATTATCCCCCCGTCTTACTTGGCCATTTCTCTTGGGACAAATCACAAAGTCATACACATACTTTGATGTGCATATTTACTGAAGGAACAAAAAAGTGAAACCTCAGGCAACTGTAGGAGCAGTCACACAGATACAAAACACAATCTCTCTTTTCCTTTAATGCTTCACCGGGTCAGAACAGAGTTGCTGCCTGCATATTCGTCACCCGTCTTTCCTAGTCACTCTTGAAGTTTGCTCCATTCTTCTGCTCCCGGAGCTTTCTCCTCTGCAGGTATCCGGTACGTTGCAGACGGTTCATTCTAGCTGCAAAGAAGATGACGATGTTGCTTGGCACCAGCTTAGTGGTGAACCAACCCTGTGAGGGAAAAAAAACACCACAAAAAAAAAAAAAAAAGTGCCACATGAGTTTATAAGCCATTTAAAAACTTTTAAATGAAAATGCAAAAATAAATGATTTGACTAAAAACCTTTTCCAAGACATCTTCAAAAAGACATACAGTACTCTATTTTTTCACAGCATTATCTAGAGTTTCCACAAATCATTTGAGTAAAACAAAATATAGCCTGGATCTATACTGGATGTGTGTTGCAACTAGGTTGAGTATTTGAGGTTTCCACGTCTTACCATGACAGCGTGGGGGAAATAGCCATTAGTCTGGCTCTGCAGACCCACAGTGTTGAGTTCAGCTGCCACATAGCGCTCTGGGGTTGGTTTGTCCAGGGTGGGTTTCCTGATACGAGTCATTTTAGTGGCCACGAAGAAGGGCAGCACGCTCTGCACAACGACAACGAGAAAACGTGAGATGAGCTAAAAACCCTTCCAGACCCAATCGCAATGTGTAAACAATGTTTGACTAAAACAAATTTCTAGTTCTGCCTCAGGATAGCATAAAGATTATTTAAATGACAAATTTCCACAGATGAACTCCAGATTTGTAGCACAGATAATTTTATGTGTTAAGTATTTAAATGGTGGCATGTCATGTGTCCTCCTGTGAGGCTGACCAATGGGACTCCAAGATGCACTTAAAATCTTTGCTGTAATCTGTTCTTATGACTGGGGTTATTGGATAAAAACATAGGGTTTGTTGAGGTGAAACTGCTGTACACACTCCCACCATAAGGTGGTGGATGAGTGACTAAAACAGAGGGTGCTTCAAAAAACAAAAAACCCCAGAACAAACAAGGTTTAAGTGGAACATATTTTCAAAAACGCCTGTGCTGTAAAAATGCGTATAACAAGCATAATTCATGAATGTGTAGTCATTTTATTTCCCTTCAGGCAGCACTGACTTAAGAAAAAAAAATATAATATAATATCTGAATTTCTTATATCCTTTGTCACAGAGTCTATAACAAAATACATTTCTATAAAACTAGCAAATCATAATACAATTAATTGGTCATGTTCCCTAACCATTTTATTCTATTTTTGTTAGACATTCAAAAGCCACAATCCAAGTTTGGCCTAAAGGTTGCTGTACACCAATGGACCTTTAAGACGTAGCTGTATATAATATTTTCAACTTGGATTGGAATAACTTCAGAGACATGCAGTAAACAAGTGGCACAATGACCAAGAAGACTGGGCTTACATTGGTATCATTTGTGCTACTGTCACTCAAAGTTAGGGCAGAAGGGATGGGAATGATGGGTATTTTCATGTGGGGTTTACTAGGTTTATCAGAGAAATAACTAGGATAATGATTGAATCTGACCCAAATCTTACCCAGACTTAGACATCCCATCAATATTATTTAATTTTGAATGTCTAGACTTGGCTTAGCAGCACTAAATAACCTTATGTCAAGGTGAAGCCACATCTTCATGTTTTGTCAGTGAGTGGCTTTAGGGCACTCAGTTAAATTCATCTGCAAAAGTAACATCACTTAAGGGCAGGGCTGAAAATAAATAAATAATTATAAATCCTACAGTTGTCTCATCCTGGCATCTTTTTTGCTCATAAAAGCTCAGAAACCATAAGTGTCCTCACAACTGAGAACACATGCAACAACATCCTATGCAACATGGACGGAGAGGAATTAATCCCATCAAACAAGTCCAAAACTCACCTGAATGATGATGCCCTGACGCCTATACTCCTCCTGAAGGCCACGAGAGAAGAAATCCACGAAGGCCTGCACACAGAAAATATATGTATATCTCCATCTCTCTATCTATATATAAATAACAGACAAATAGAGAGGTCATATACCTTTGTGGAAGAATAGACTGTAAGCAGAGGGACAGGGTACATGCCGCTGGCTGAGGAGATGTTGAGGATAACTCCTTTGGATCTGAGAAAAAAAAAAAAAAAAAAAAAAAAAAAAAAAAACGACACCACACAACAAGGTAGATTTAGGACAAGAACTTTGGTTTGTTGTCTGTGATGCTTAAAAACACATTTAGGGTGGCAACGTTACAGAGGTTTCAAAGAATTAATGAAGATTGTATGACTCAAAACTATCATGTTTTTGATGATGTTGCATTGATCAAATTATACATCAGAGGCTTTATTGTTAATTTGGGATTTTCTAAATCAAGACATCCTGCTACAATCCTCAACACCACAATCTACATCACAGGGCTTTCCCCAAAATGTGAAGCACTGATCCCAGAACAGAGCAACAAATTTTTTTTATCCTTATTTTTTCTTCAAATCCACAAACTTTCAATGATTTACCAGGCCAGTGGGAACTCTGTCTCTATACACATTCAGCACACTGACAAATACACACAAAGTGTCGTTCCACACACACACACTCTAACACAGTGTGGTAGTGGCCGTGTGTGTTGCCATGGCAGCCTGTTGCTGCAGTGATGTAGTGGAGCAACGCTCCAGCCTCACACGGCACCAAATGTGCCTGCGCTGCTATTGGCCAGCAGGAGTCACATGGGAAAAGAGCAGCCAATCTGGTGGGAAGAGCACTTTGTGTGAATTGAAAGCTTGTCAGCATTGCGAACAAAGGAAGAGAGATGCAGTGATGGAAAGAGCTTGGTCAGGATTTCTTTTCCCACTTCCTTATTAAAAAAAAAAAAAAAAAAAAAAAAAGAGAGTGTCCCCTTTATAAAGTGTCTCCCAAATAAAATTTTGTTTTACAAGAGCAGTATTTGATTCCTTGTGCAGCTCTGTGCCACGCTCCCTCATTTGCAACACTGATATTTGACTGCAGTCATGTCACAAAACATGGAAGCCTATCATTTAACTCACCTCTTAACCATTCTGGGCAGCACCAGACGGGTCATCTAAAAGAAGAAAGAAACCACCACCACAAGATCAGTTAACGTTAATGACAAAACTCAGGAACAGGACTCTGTGAAAGAGTTTATATAAAAGAAAAAAATAACAGAGACAGAGAGAGAGAACGTGGGTGGCAAGTACAGACAGCGTTGGTGTAGTCCACCGTTGCTTTGGGAACAACTGAGACACTGCAGGTACCATGGTAGAAACACCAGAAGAGGAGAAAGGAGGAGAAGAACAAAAGGGGGAAAGTGAGGAGGGGGAAGGGGTACCCCATGGATCAACTTTAAACAAACATTTGGGGTGATATATAAATATTTGGCATTTGGCTGAAGGTATTTAGAATATTTCCTTTCTGAAGAGCAAGAGTGTGCAGAGTTGGTCAAGACAGACAAACTTACCTGGCACACTGAGGTCATGTTAACGTTGATCATATTTGTGATGAACTGAAACATAGAAAGCACCAGTCAGCTAAACATTCACATATAAGATTATGTTTATACAGTAGAGAGCAGAGGAAGCAGATGATTGGTATACTAGATGCTACAGATTAACCATTACTAAACTGTACAGCATGAGACAAAAGAAGAATGGTAAATGAATTTGCTTTTTCCACAGGCTTAGACACTGCACTCTTAACGAGCAGCAGCGGAGAATTTGCATCTGCAAATAAAATATTAAATAAGAAAACTTACATTGTCCAGATCAGGAATATGGAGGTAGTACTCGGGGTAAGGGTAGGACACACCAACATTGTTGACTGTTGAAGACAAAAAAATTAATAAAAATTATTCTGCGGTTTTCACAAAATAACCTGGTGCTGGAAAAAAAAAAAAAATAATCAAACTAGCTTAAATGTCTACCATAAGGTGGCAGCAAAAGCAAACAAGACAAACCAGCATTTACTCACATAGCCACACCTTATAACCAGTGGAGCACAATTGGTATCATAAGGACAAGCAGTTCCTTAGATGTTCAACTAAAAAGTACAATGTGAACTCTCGAGTCTATAATTACACAGACATCTGAAATTTTAAATATATACCCTCTGTCGTGATATCGTTTTTGCTTTCTGATAAGTCTCTAAACCTTGAGCTCAAGACAGACTTTTAAAAGATAAGAAAAACAGTATTTATCCTTTGTGTTCTGGCAATATGTCTCCATCACTACTATGTCATGATAATTCAACCAGACCTTAAACATGACCCTTGTCAACAATGTGCACATTGTACTTTTACAGTCAGGCAAAGTTGGCAAAGTCAATTCAAGCATCTAAATTCATTGAGTGTAAAATGGATCAGATCACTCCACTGTGCAGAGAGAGAATCAGGAGATCACACGACCTTACGTTTCCATAGTAAGTGTTACAATTTAACTCACGGCATGGCTGATGTATATAGCGAAATCCAGAAGGGGGGGGGGGGGGGATAAGTTGTGTCTAATCTTTAATATTAATGACTCTTTAAGCATCTCACCTCCTGCTGCAAACAATGCATCTCGTGCTGCTTGAACACACAGCAACTGAATGTCAAATGTTTGTTAATTTTTGTATAGTTTGTCTTGCTCTGTCGCTTTGCCCTTTAGGATAGGTCTTGTTGTTTATGTAACACAACAGGTTCTTACATTAAAGTCAAATATGTCGACATGCAAATCGTGCCCAAGTCGTTACTGGACACAATGTGGGATGAATGAGCACACTGGCCTGAACAAAATCATCTCTTACCCAGAACACCAATCTCTAGACCCTTCAGCCCCGTCTCAATCTTGGAGTAGATGTCTGCCTTGCCAAAGTCAACTGCAATGGTCCTGGTCTCCACTTTAAACTGCTCCTCTGTAAGGGAGAAACAAGTGTCCATTAACAATGATATCTATGCAATGAGTGTTTGAACTGTGGACATAAAAGTTACATCATACAATTGTTGTGATAAGATCAAAGCTCAGAAGGAAGCATGTTTAAGATCAATCATTTTAGTGAGCAATCATGCCTTCACTACACACAGTGCCACAATTCAGCTAGCATTACATGGCTCAACAACACAGCAATCCCCCGTTTCAAAACCCTGGATCCATTCAAATGAAGGAGCATGAAACCATCTGTCAGACTTAACTGAAGAGGGCACTGCGTACCAACAAACCAGCTGAGCAATCGTGTCCCCATCCCTCCTCCCTCCATTCCTTCGTCATGTTTGACGCGCCTGCTGCAATTAGAATTTATTGTCCAAAGACTCGTTTAGCTGATAGGTGGCAGAGGGAGTTATAAGAGGAAAATTCCTGGGATGCGCCTCAGTAAAGACCAGTAGCGTGTCAGTGTATATTCAGCGTTGAGACAAGAGAAGGGGAACCTGAGAGGGATGTGAGGTGGAGGTGAATAAAATACAGAAAAGAGGGGTTAAGGGTTGGAGCCTCCATGAAATCCATATTCTAGCTTGGATTATTTTTAGTGATTCCAACCAACGCGAGTCCAAGTCAAATAAAACAATAAAAAGCAGCTTAGGACATGGTGGCAAAGAAGAAATATTAAGGATGAGGTTGCCAAATTGGAGGAGTAATTTATAGTTGCCAGGTAGGTGCAATCAAGAGTCAAATGAGATGCTTGCAACAATGAAATTATAGGTGGGACATGCTGGGTTGCCCGGTTACATGGTAGGGAGGGCGGTTTTCTCAGAGTAATCGTGAGGGAGGAGTGCGAGAGTTTGGCACGCCGCACCCCATTCGTGACTACCCATCAGCCCCCTCTGTGGATTTGAAGCACGACAGGGGAAATTGCACTGTGGGAGACGTCAGAGACAGATGGAAAGAAAGCGAGTCGGGAAGGGGCACCATTTGAACAGGGGGGGCCACTCACCATTCAGTCTCTTGTTAAAATGTGGACAGAGGCCAGCGAAGAGGAGAGAGGGGGAAAAAACAAAAAAAGTTTCTTTCCGTTTCATATGGACACTCATTTTAATTTTGTTGTGTAGGATGTTTCTGTCTTGAATGAGGAAAGCCTGTTTGTTTCGAAAAAAAATCTCAGAGTAACTGGTTGGTCCACAAGTTCATTCCGGCCAGATATTTGTTGTGTCTATCTTCATACTAACAGTGAAGACATAAACATAGCCTGCTTTGTTAGCTGCATGTTTCCAATTCTCCACCACTCAAACAGAATAAAAAGGCATGACTTAGCAGGACGCAATATAGTGTGAAAAATGGGACTGAGGGGAATAAATCTTAATAGTGAAAGTACTCACAAAATGACTGAATCTGTAAAACACATTGTGTTTTGGAAAACTAATATGAACTTGTATTTTGTCCTCAAAACAGATGCAAGGATTAATTTCTCCTCCTCTATTTGACTATATTCTAAATCCTTACGTTGAGATTATGCCCTCTTGTCAGGGCCTGGTAAACCCCGTAGCAGACAGGGGAAGGTTGCACATCACTGCCTTCCTCTACACACATCCTCTTCTGCCCACTTGCTGTGCTCTCAACCCCGAACGGGTTTCCTTGATGTTGTAGAAACACACACACACACACACACACACACACACCTACCAAGTGACCTGGCCATGTCATCCAGCTTGTCCTGGGAGCGACTGATCAACATCATGGCAAATCCTCGACGAGCCAGCTAGAAAGGAAATACCAGTTTAGAAACAGATGCACAAGTTTGACTTTGAAATTTTAAATATATTGGACGGCAATGTAACATACTGTGTGGGAACTACAGATGGCAGCGAGGCAAGAGAACTAAATTTCAGGAATGCCCATAAAGCAAAAAAAAATTAAACAATCTAACATTTCTGTCAAGAGCACCAACTCTCAAAAGTGTAAGTCTGTATTTCTAAACTTTAAATAAGTATGCTTCAATTCTGGATTGGTTGATTGGGAGAGCAATGGTAACATATCTTCCAAAATCCCTCCAGTGACCATAGATTGATCACTTATCTCCATCTGCACACTGACACATGTTGTGCTCACTTTGTTGGAAGCATGCTTTTCTGGCATTCTGATAAGTTTGAATCACATTTTTGCTAATTTTTTCCTTGAAATTCTGTCCAGCTACTGCCCTTACCATTTCAACTGGACACTGACTCAATATAGGTTCGAAGTTCAGCTAGGTGGATTTTCAAATCTAATTGCAAATCTGCTTGTGAATTTCAAATTATTTGCAATGACGTACTTTAGAACACAGAGGTTGATTTATCATGTTCCATGTGAAAGCAGCATTCACGTAGTGCATTTCTACATAAATATTAACATACCTAAACACTGCATGGCATAATACACTGTAAAATTTGCCTACTGTTGCGTGACAGGCGACTAGCCTCACTGTAGCACCAACAGCAACAGTATGAGTCAAAGGCCCTACATGACTATATTATACAGCACACCCACATTAGTATGGGCCCAACACGTGGCAGGGTAGCCCCTTTTCAACGTGAGCTAGTTACCTCCATAACAGACGGTGTGTGATGGATCTATTCCATGTTAATAGGCCTGTAAGAGCTCTCAGCTACCATGACCTATGGGTTAACACTGCATATGTGTGCATATGAGTCACAGCTTTTCCATGAATTTTTTTTTTTCCCTCAAATAAATAAGAGTCCAAGAGCCTCACCTCCTCCGCATAGGATTTCCCGATTCCATCCGTGGCTCCCGTCACAACTGGAGAGAGACAAAGAAGAAAGAGGTTAGTATAGGTTCTCTTCACACTGTGTAGCAGGGCAGGGGTCAAGGCAATTTCTTTACATTGTCATATCCCAGCAAAAGGGCGTTGTTCGGCCCAACACGAAGGAATTATGTCAGTCGTTATATGTAGTTATTATACCATAGCCATCAGCCAATCAGATTGCTTGACTTTAGCTATCCATTCTATAAATCTAGGTAAAGTTATTGTAACCCAGTCAAATGGCCTCAAAGTCATAATACATCAGCAACACTGACAAGTCATACCAGAATGACTCATTACTCTGGCACATCTATGACTATGACATCTTCACGGTTTCGGTTATCTTTGCATCTGGTCACACACACACACACACACACACACACACACACACACACACACACACTTTGTGTAGAGAATTACGACACACCTTCACATCAGGTTTGACCACTTCCAGTTATCGTGACAGCTCAGAGCTCCAATATGGAGTTTACCGCAGGGCTCTTTACAGGTGACAGACAGGGACATATGACATATTTCACTTTAAGCCAATCCGTTGGTGAACACACCCTGCGACACTATTCCCCTGCTATTTAGGAAAACCTCTAAAATGACTTTTCAGTCAAATAGCGTTTGTTTGATGAGATGCTTACAAGGTGTCCATTCTCAAAGTGCAAACAAAAGCAAGCGTGTAGTTCAATTTTAGAGCAGAGATGCATATAACTCAAGATAGTTTAGATAGGAGTCAGATAGCAAAGATTAAGCTACAAAAGAAAAGATGGGGCAGAGACTATATGGTGGTTGAGATAAGATGGTATAGATTAATGTATAACAAAGATAGAAGACAGTATAGGACTCAAAGCCCTCAACACCCACTGATACCTCACTGGGAGCAGCTCCTGTGATGTTAAACAATACAATTTTCAAGATCAAGTCTTCATCTTGAATACCTTATCATTTTAGTATGCCACCAAAATCTGACTGGCAAGGTTAAGTGTATCTGTAGTTTGCATATAGTTGGAGGAAGGCGAATGGTGGAAAACCAGCAAGAATCAGAACAGTATGGTATGAGCAGATTTCATAGACGTACAACAAAAGATGGTAAAGTGGCCACAGCGTGGAGAGACCAAGACAGAGAGGAGCTGATCTTCTTGTGTTCAGAGTTCTCCTCACCTTGTCAAGCAAGCAGGGCTATTTTTAAACCTTCACTGCCCATCAACCTTAGCCCCTCTTAGACTGACTGAGGATGGGGGAGAAGGGAGGTAGGGAAAGAAGAACAAGGAAGGTAGAAAAACGGACACAAGACAAACAAGAAAGCGTGGTGAGGAGGGATGGGGGGGTACTCACAAAAATATATGCACACACAGTTGTGAATCATAAATTATTAGCAAAGCTTGATGAAAGATTAATAGAGGTAGAGGACATTCTCTGGCAAAGAGCTGGAGAGCAGGAAAAAGAGACGAGAGAGATGAGAGAGGGGACGCAGAGAGGAGGGAGTGATGACGAACATGTAGCAGGAGAAAGGAGGAGGAGGGTGAAGTGGGGTAGGGTAGACGGTGGGGTGAGGAGAGATCCTAGGGCTGGCTAAAAATAGAACTGGAGTGAAGCAAGAGAACGAATAAGTGAAGGAGAAAGAAACAGAACAGAGATGGCGGTGGAGGAGAGGGGGTGTGTGGAAGAGAACGAGTGAATGAGAGGCAAGTGAGAAGCACAAAGTCAAAAGAGAAAAGAGCAGAATCCCTGGTTATTTTTAAACCTCCCCCATATTAAGAATGAAACGCTCCGTGGCAGAAATGCCTCAATGGACACGGGCTGTACCAAATCAGGCTCTCGTTGCAGATGCAGGTGGGGGCAAACAAAGGCAGGGAGAGGCTACATTCACTGCAAAGTAAAATGGCTGGGGGGGGGGGGGGGGGGGGGCGCTACTACAACCATCTTCACATAAAATTATGTTTTTCCTATTATAATCTAATGAATTGAATGACTTATTTGTTTTATAAGCTACAGGGCTAATACTTTATCCTTCGCCTGCATGACCGAGTTTCAGGAGCAAAGAATGCGTTATGAAGCACGTACCATAACCATTTGAACTTTAACCTGATCCAGGTTAACGTGCAGGAATGTGTTGTGCGCTTAAAGTGCAGGCACAGCATCACCTTCTGAACCTGACGACGACAGTAAAGAATGTAAAGTACTTAGCAGTGCATGTGTTCATGCTATGCATTTCAAGAATACCAAACATAGTGTCAGTCTTAAAGCCACTATTCTTGCCTTTGAGTGTCATTTCTCCAAAAGCCAGATAAAATCTAAAATTTTTTTTTGCTTTTGAGTTGCTATCAGCCATCATTAGTCAAACAAATACAAGAACCAAGAGTATTCTGAATTTAAGCGAAGTAACATATAATACCTACTCAAAGACACAAAATTATTCAGGAATTATCAGCTTGAAATGCAGACTGAAATATCAGAATAAAATTTGATGCCAGTTGTATAACTGGCAGCCCTTCAATGATGACCAGGCACTGCAGAAATAGAGAAAATATAAGTATCCTATTCTAATGACGTACAAAACAGAACACAATGTCCAAAACACTAATGTTCAGACACACACACACTTAATTCCCCTCACGTGAGCGTAGTCCCTTTTTGTTACAATGCATCTGTGACACACAGATGCATTGTAACAAAAAGGGACTACGCAAGCAAACACGTGACTGACAGCAGTGCTACTGACGCTCAGAGAAGACGCACACTGACAAAAGGGTGAATGTGTGCTGATGGGGCAACCATGTATTGGAGTGATGTGCACAATGAAAATAATGGTGATTTGAAAAAGGCTAGGGAAGGGGAGTGCATGAATTCATGAGTGTATTGGCAGAGGGGGATGTGTGCACTGCTGCTGCCTTTCATTCATTCCCAGCAACACTGCTCTGAACCCAGTTCCCCCCCATTCTTACGCCTCAGAGAACTGGTCCACCATGCTGGCTCTAAAGCACCCTGATGAGGGCGCATTTGCACCGCAGCTCTGCTGTGCTTATTGCTGCACATCACGTCCAAAGGCATTGACATCCCCCAGCCTTTTCTGTCTCCCTCCCTCCCTCCTCAGCAGCAGAGCAGCCCCTGCTGCTGCCTGCTCACTATTCTGAGGGTCTAAAAAAAGCAGCAGGAGGAGTAAAAATAGCAGCGCGCCTGCACTGCCTCGTCTGGGAGCTGCCTGCCTGCCTGCCTGCCTGCCGCAGCACCTGAATACCAACAAGATCCCCCACCACCATCACCACGACGACCAGGCTGCTGCTGCATCCTCAGTCCTCCATCTAAAGCCCTGATGCCAGCAAGAGTACTGCAGGCTGGGAAAAACCACAGAACATCTGATCTGATGAGCAGTGGAAAAAGAACAGGGCGAGCACAAAGCCTTGACTGCTGATACTCATGAAGAATCTTTGATTTAGATTATCGTATCGTTCTATTAACTGATTATTCCCTCTCTAGATAAAAAGGTGTGGTGGTAAAATTAGCTCATCTAGTGTTTAGTTGTAGAGAAAGCTGGCATGATTTTGACAATCACTTACTGACAGGGTGAGGTCAACTTCCTATGCAAAAATAGAGTGAGACAGAACTAAAATGATCACAAAAACTCCCTCTTCAACCCTCCCCACCACCAAATACCCAATTAAGATTCTCAGTGAGGAGAGACTGCGGTCCTTGTATGCCCCGCTCTTGTTACGTACAGTTATGTAATCTGTCGCACCCCAAACTGGCCTATCAACGAGCAGCCCCTCCTACCGCAGGAGGGAAAGAAAAAAAAAAAAAAAAAAAAAAAGGGAGGGAGGGATGCAGCAGAAGATCCAAAAGACAGCCCCCCCAACACACACACACCCACCTTCCACATTCAAACACACACAGCTTTAAATAGCAGGGGAGAGAAAGTCACATGGGTAATATAAAAGTAGACAAAAATAATGCTTGATCGGGCCGGGGGAAGAGGGAGAAATGAAGGGAGGGCGAGACAGAAGAAAAATAAAAAAATAAAAATGCGAACATGTACTTCAGAGCTGCCCAAGATAGAACCAGCTTCTATATTTGGATGCAGAGCAAAATAGTTACATTCCCCTCCCTCCTCCACACATGCCTTGTTTAAAAAAAAAAAAAAAAAAAACAAACACACACAACTAAAGAAAATAAATAGTTCCTTTCACCACAACTACTTGGATTGAGACAAGGTGATTTGAGCAGAAAACAAACTTTCAAAAAAAAAAAAAAAAAAAAAAAAAAGCCTACAGCAGGTGAGTTCACTTTATTAGTCAGTCCTCTCTGGCTGAAGAGTTAATCAGAGAAGTCACCTGCTGGAGTCTTTGGCAGTAGGTATGAAAACCTCCACACACATAGCCTTGCATGGCGCATGACTGAAAACACCTGATGTATAATTTACATTACTGTAATCAAGTTAGTGGGTAACATAAATGTGGAGTTCCTCTACAAATGTAGTGATTCTTCAAAATTAATCTGCATTTGAATGACTTGTGTCTTAATGCCGTGCATTCCTACTGTAAACAGAAGTTATTTCACATCACAAACTATAACCAGAGAGTATTACAAAGTTTGACCAAAACTGGCATTCTGAAAACTACATAAAACGCCTTGCACACAAGTTACTGTATATTATGTTCATCCAAACTGTGGCTTTTTTTATTTTTAAACAGGAGAGGTAATTACTTCATACATTCTTCTAAGGTTTGTTCCAGAAAGACTGATGCCAACGCCTCAAGTAGCATACATTTCAACATGCCCACAACTAAACATACTGCCTTTCTGGCATGTTGGACTGAAATGTACGAAGGCATCATTTTACAGAAGGTAATAAACCACTAATCCCAAATATGCTGGTGGTCCAGTATTGTGACTGAGCAGCTACATCATTATTGTACTTGATGCCCTCTTTCAAGCATAGCAGTATCTATGTGTAAGATATAGTTAGGCTGGAAAGTTGGTTTAACCTTAATCCAAGTTTTAACTAAGTTCAAAGGGGCCCATTTCTGGGGTTTCTTTATCACTTGTTATTGCATTTATTCGCAGAGGCATTTCTGTTGCTTTGTCAGTGCAAGGGCTTCAAATGACCATTTTACTGCTGAAATGATAAGTGGATTAATCAATTAATGGCTCGACAGAAAGACCAGTAATGATATTGTTTGTCAATGCATAAGAAAGAAGTCTAGTTGTTATTTATCAAAAAATAAAAAAAAATAAAAAAAATTCCGTTGAGGGGATTTGGTGCTTTTTTGTCTTATAAGCCAGTAAACCAAATTATATATTTGGGTTTTACACCGTTTGTTGGACACACAAGCAATCTGAAGATATCATTTTAGGTTTTCAGAAGTTGTATACACAGTTTTACTATTTTCTGACATTTCATAGACCAAATTAATTATCAGCAGATAATTAATGAAAATAATAGTTTGTTGCAGCCCTACACCATTTAACCAATAATTTGTTTAAAGAAGGTTACAATTCATGACCAATGTCAATCACAGATTACTAGATCCAGAAGTTCTATCTTAAACTGTTCATGTAGTCTAAGCGGTCGTCAGAACCACAGTAGAATAATTTCAGAAAATATAACAAAGCAACATCTTAGTGTTTGTGACGCTACAGTATTACAAATTTTTTAATGTTAGGCTTTAAGTACACTTATTTCTTGTATACTGAAATATCAGCACTAGTCATGATGGATAGCATTTAAGCTTTACTTGTTTAAGAAAATACAGACTTAAGTTGTCAAGAGAATATAGGAATGGCTTAGTGGGCAAACCAATTGATGAGCAAAAAGGAGATGGGTGGAGAATGAGAAAAATTTAACTGGAGAACAGAACAACATGCTTAGAGGAAGATGGTACTGTAGGCTCAAATAGAGTGCAAGAAACAATTACACAGTGGCCGAGATGGAGCCAGGGAGGGGGGTAGGATTTTGAAGAGTTTGAAATGAGGGGGATGCAGAGGATTTTTTTCCCCCCCTCCCTCTTTTTTTTTTTTTACCCAGCATCCCTGGCTCTGGCACGTGTCATAGAGTGTGTTCATCACATGAACAGCAGTGTTCTCCCTTTCCGCCCACACACACACACACACACTCTCTCTCTCTCATACAAAGCACTAGAGGGAAGCACATTCACAAGGATGAAAAAGTAGAGACCTTGCCTCAGTTGAAACACAGGGATACATTTCAGTCTGATATGTGCATCTTCCTTAGCGTGAATGAAGCCTACTTCCTATTCATAAAAAGCAAAAACTGACAATGATTCTCAAAATTATTAACGCTACCCTGCAACTCTGATTCACCTGCAGCTTGTGTTGATAAATGGCTCAAATGTTTAATCCTGGTCCAAAAAAACTCTACTAAATTCTTGCGTGCTGACCCAAGCCTTTGTCACTCTTGTGCTGTCCTGATGAATGGCTGCATCCTTCTTATGTAATAGGAACATTTTCTCAATACACTCTAATGTGAAAGCGCGTGTCACATCACCACCCAGCCCTTGCAGAAAGCTCTCTTTGGTCTAATTTACTTCTCTATAATGGAGTTTTACTCACACGCAACAGAACAGACACTGGCTCCCTTATATAATAAGGGAAGCTGGGGGCTAAGTGTGGAGTGAGCAGAGAGGAGAAAAGTAGGCACTATTACACAGAGTGAAAAGCTGCTCCACTGGAAATAAAAGCATAAATACCAAAAATTGCATCAGAAAACTGCAAAATGTCTATGAAATACTAGAAAGAATTTAAAAAAAGGTTAACTAAAAAAGACTAAATCTTTCTGAAAGCCAGATTCATGCACAATGCTAACAAAAAAAAACAAACAAAAAAGCAGCAATCTTGCTTTATTGTGATGCACCTATTGGTCTTTTTCAAAATCTCCTAAAAATAAAATGTGTCATGTTCTAGAGAGTTGCCATTCCTTCACTCAAGGTTTTATTTTTTTAAAAGAGAAAAACTGAGCTGCAGACATGATTGGGCTGGCAGGAGGTGGGAAAAGAGTATGTGTGGTTGCACAGTGCAGCAGAGAGGCTGGGGAAGCCGCCTTTACCCATGCTGCAGTGCTCCTGCTCTACCGCTAGGAGTCCCATCCACTAAGGGGAAGACCAATCATTGGCAAAGGAACTCCAGAGAAATCCCTGCTCTCCACTGCATGTGAGAGCTGCAGAGCTTCAGACCAACACAAGACACAACGATGTACAGTGATAACATGAAAAACTACACCAATGATTTAAAAAACAAACAAACATTAAATACAAATTTCCTTTTCTTGCAAAAAGGGACGGGATTAACTTGTATCTGATCTTGTGTTAGTGTTTAGTGGGCAAACTACCTCAACCACACACACACACACACACACACGTCTGACCAGGAAATACAAGTAGTCTTGTGTGTTGCAATTGCAGCCATGTGGACTGTAAAAAGCACATGTTTAAAAAGGATGATAGTTATCAAATGTTGAACATTTTAGAAGCCATGTCAGTCTAAGAACTTTGTCTATGGGTGAAGTGACTGATTTTATTTCCTTGAATAATTGTTTACTGGGTGTTAGCCAATATCCTCTTACATGATCCCATAAAGTAAGTGAAATAAAGTAAACCTTTTCCCATTTACACACAGTCCTCAATTCAGGTGATATAATTACAAAGAGAAGCATTCTTTGAAAACAAATGAAGACAGTGATGAAATTTCAAGCTTTCAATAAGTTTTCCTACACAAAGGCGCTTTACATTGATGATAATCAACTGTCATGGTTAGATACAAGAGCTGAAGAGTTGTGCTAAACACCAACCTGGATTATGCTACTCCACAGCTCTGAATTCAGGGGAGATGCGGAAGTATAAGTAAATGACTGAAAACCCTACAAACTCCACAGCTTCTGTGGAGTAGCTACTCACGACTTAATTTTACACTCGTGGCTTATTGTGCTTAAAAACAAGGAGACAATACCAAGCCTTTTCAATCATTAGGAGGTTTAACTTGTTTCAACAGGTGCCTTAGTTCTTTAGTATAAGGTGGAGACCAGGAGTCGCACCACTTGACGTATGTGTGTTAAGGAAATCACGCCTGTGCCTAACCTGGCCAGACCCGCACATCTGGTACAACCAGCTGAGGAGAACACCACATCCCCAGCACACATCCACTCCCTCCTCTCCTCCACTTGCTCACTCCCTGCCATGGCTCTAACCATTGTAATTAGAAATGAAAGTCAGACTTGTCAGACTGGTGGCAGCAACTGGTTTCAGGGAGGGTCATGCAAGTTCACATGTTAAGAAAGGCGATACAAGAATACATGTGACAGGTTTCATGAACCCTTAGATTAGTAGAAAAATAGTTCTTTCTAAAATGCTACTTTAAAACTGCTGGTTTAGAGCATTTGCAACACTCTTCAAACTCATTCTATGGCATCACAGGTATTAGATTTGACCCAGTATGCTTGATGCAATAGAAACCCTTTAAGAACGGTTTGTTACTGCACCAAAAATGGTCTCTGCTACAAGCATGAGGAATAATTTTATTTTTAGAGTCCAGGAAGGTAACCTCTAATGCGAAGTTACAGCTATATCTGACAAGATACTGAAGACGCTGGAGGTGGAGTGAATGGAGAGGGGAGGTGGGGGGGGATCACAATTTCTATATGACCAATGGATGACGAGGCAAGCGAATGAGTCATCCGTGTGCACCGGTATTCCTCCGCATATTCCAGCAGAATCACAAAAATGTGACATTAGTCACTCCTAAAGGCACCTACCTTTGCGTCATGCGTTTAATTCCCTTTTATGGTACATAGAGCATCAATTAAACGCCCCATTAATAAAAAAAAACGACGACTTAGAGACAAATTGCGTCACGGTGCAGATAAACATCTGGGTAATTAAAAGAATTTAAAAAATCATCCGGGTCGCCACGTTTTGGGGTGTTAAAAATAAAAGGGGGAGATCATCAACCTATCCCGATGCAACGGGGAGCGCTCGGCAAATTGCGCAGCAAGCAGCTCCAGACGCAGCAGTCCTCCAAAGAAGAGACTGAAGAAGTGGGTCAAGCCATGGCAGGGCGATTCCTATGGGACTAGTCTCTAGCAATTCAAAATAATACACTTAGATCTGACAGGTAACTCGCTCCTATTTGGCCAAGCACTTTGTCAAAGTACATTAGTCAAATCCTCTTAAAGACGTTTTAATCGTCTGACAATATGTAGGGCAAACGGAATGAGGCATGGTAATGTGACAAGCAATGACTAGGAAGAAACCGACGACATAAACAAAAGCATGACAATACACCGCCTAAATATACTAATACACAAAGTGAGGTAAAAGATTTTCAAGTGTCAAAATGTTGGACAAACTCCCACAAGGTGACATATTTTGAAAAGTCAAAAGATGTGAAGATCATCTAGATGCGGGACACGTTTTAATTGGGCATATGGGTTTGTCCTACATCATGCGGATGGGCTAATGTGGTTCAGTAGTGCGCTGGCTGAGAGCTCACCCACATAAAACAGCTCTCTGAAAAGTGCGCATAGCCTGCGCAATTTGGCTCTTGGCTCACCAATGTGGGGCATCCCCCCACCGCTCCAAATGTGGGTGAAAACGCTGACTGGAGCCCTTGGCAGCAGACGGTGCTGTGTTTGACGCGACAAAAAAAAACAAAATAAACAATTGAGCTAATAATCACCATTATCTTGTCAGTCAATCAGCTGCTTACCTGCGCTTGTTACGCAACACCAACCACCCCTTGAATTGAGCCACAAAAACGGACCAGAATGCAGCTCTTCTTTGTGCCAAAGTGAAGTTTCAGCTCAATAACCTCATTCTGGTGTTTGTACGTCGAGTCCACCTGCCTACGTCTGAGCTGCCCTCTTCGTGACCGTGGTGTAGGTGGCGTGAAAATTGATGTGACCCAACTCACCTGCCCATTTGCCCAGTTTCGGAGAGAGCAGCCGCCCGTTTCCCAAGACCCAGATCCTAAAGCCTGAGAGCAGCCTGTAGAGCAGCCACAGCGCCAGAGAGGCCACAGTCAATGCGCCGACCCAGAAGAGAGGCGTCTCGGCCCTGCGGAGCGTCTCCTCAACGTTCATCCAGTTCATGGCAGCAGCTCTCGGTGTGTGTGAGAATGTGTGTGTGGAGACCTCAATTTTAGGCAATGTGCTCTAATTTCGTAGCCACAACGTGAGAGAGAGTCCCTTTATAAGGAGGTTGTAGCATCACACACTCCCCCAACTCCCCCAACACTTGTCTAGCCTGATTTAAAGTGCACCGCCCACCTCCTACTCCGCCCCGCCCTCCTCTTCTCTGCTCTGCTCTGGCTGCAGTAGCTGTCTCTCGGCTGATCCATCCCGCCGGTTGGTGCATTTGCATGTCAATCAACTCCAGAGCTTTCCCCATTCATTCGATTTTCTGTATGAATCAGGGTGGGTCAAAAGGAGACCGGGATGAGCAGCGATTGGGCAATCATTATGGCAGCCACCATCCGGAGTCGGTCATTGGCTCTCACCGGATCAGGTTTGTCGGTTTCAGTCAGGATTATGAAACCCTCCAAACCCACGCTTTCGGAAAAAAACTGCCCACACCACTTTATGAATGAAAGGATGCTTTCATTGGTGAAAAACGTGCGCGTCCTCCCGCCCCTTGGAGATCGCCTGGAAAGTTTTTATTGGCTAAAGTGATATCAGTCTATGAGGTCAGACTGCTCCCACCTAGACATGAGTCACTCTCTATTTTAGGTATTCTGTATGCATCATACTGCTAATAACCACTACAAATAGTAAAAAAAACAGGTGGCGTGAGGCATCTTTGCATAGATTCACGCATATTGCGCCAGATAACTATTCCGCACTCGCATCTGCTGCCAAATGCGCCAGTTCAGCTCCCCAAAGAAAATAAAAAACTACAATCCCCAGTCTCTTTCAAACTCTCGCGAGATTGCCTCCATCGTAGTAAGTTCCCCATCCCAAACATTGAGGAGAGAGATGATATGTGTGTTACATAAACACTGAGACAGGCTTTGGATTTCCATCGCTTTATTTTGATTTTTTTACATTTCGGTCCACACGAAAAAGCCAGTCATGCTTACAGGCGCTGGATGTTTCTGCACAACCGGCTGTCACGATGTTCTCCTCAGCAGTATGTGCTCTCATTTGCCCATTCCGACCCAGAAAGGCTATTTGCAACAGCATTTTTTAGTCTCCAACACCCCCCACCCCCACCCCTTTGCCGCCATGCTCCCTGTCTCTCTCTCACACACACACCCAAACTAAACATGAAATTCTCACAAACCGAGGATCTGTGGCACAAAGCAAACCATGCCATGTACTAAGCAGAAGAAAAAGAGTATAAAAATGTATCTGCATGCTGACAGCCAACATGCAGCTGCTCGCACTCTTTGACACAAGTGGAGGGCTCGAAGTCAACGTGACACCGAGAGGAAGGTTTCAAACGGGGTAAAATTAAATATATTTCTGACCAACAGTCTTTCAGCCATAATTATAATGTGCAAAGTAAAATATATTAACAAAACGCCATCTCTCACAAAATAATCTTCACAAAAATAACTTGTACAGCACCGATTTTATATTCTGGCATCATTTCAAAGTCGATATTCATCTGCACAAAAATACATGTATCAACTTACAGCCTCAAATATGTGCACACAAATATTTTCCAACAATTTTCATATTATAAACAGCACACACACATCATTTATGTGTAGTGTAGCACATCCATCAAAATCACATTGGTTTTTTAGGAGGTTTTTGTAGCCTCAAAGTGTGTATTTAAACTGATAACATTAAATATGATCAAATTACACACGTCACACACACAAACACACACACACACACACACACACACACACTCCTGTCAGACGTTTTGAGAGTCCACCTTTACGTCTCTGTCATGTCCCCGAAGACAAACTGCTGAAAACAAAAGAGAATATGTGAATTTAGTCGTGCACAATTCCCTGTGAAAATCTACACGTGTGTGTGCAAAACTTTCAACACCCAAGAAATTGCACAAACATTTTATAATGTCAGCTTGGCCACCGCCTATTAATACAAATTAAGTTACATATTTTGTGGGTAATCTTTTATTAAATAGAAATATTAATTTCACACAAGAGGCAAAAAAAGAAAATCTAAGAAATATATATAGGGTTAGGGTTATATAGCCTATATGTATACCGGCTTGTGTCACAGCGATACCACAAACTACAGCTTCTACCTAATTTCAAGTTTTTGTTTTTTTTTACACGAAGAGTATATACCCCCCTCCCTGTATCAATAGCCCTAAACTCACACACTCCCTAAATCCCGCAACCTTTTGTATCCTGCAAAGCTTTTCTCACATTTAAGTTTCTGCCTCATCATCTCAAAACACACACACACACACACACACACACACACACACACACACACACACGGTCTCTCACTTTATCGGAGTCAACACCAACCCCATCTTTGCCTACACACACTGTCATAACTCACTGCTATCAATACCTTCGTGAGTCCACATTTTATCTGGTTTTTGCTTCATTTTATTAATCATGAAACAAAAGTTCTGAAGGCGGGGAAACATTGCTATAATTTACAGCGATAAAAGTCACATCAGGGCAGCGTTTGGGACTAATAATTCCTCTGTGCAGATAATTCCTCAAACTGATAAAATAATGGAAAAAATATCCCGACTGTCATCACTGATTTCAACCACTTTAGAAATTACGTTTATATACGCTAACGTTTTGTTGGCAAGACTGTAGTTTGTACATAGACGCTGACAGAGTTTACAGAGCAGTCAACTGACGCGTTTCCTTTTTTCTTTTGTGTGTCGCTGTCCACCTCCTTGGTTCTGTAACGGCGCATTTCAGCACCGTAGAAGTGGAGAGTGACACACAGAAACCCTTCTTTAACACCAAAACATTAAAGTTTCTCAAATGTAAATGATCGACTCCTGCCCTGCACAGGGGTTTCCACATCTGTATGAGCATCAGACACACACCTGACAGAGACAAGCTAGCAGACGCTCCTGCCCTGTCCTTTCCACACAACTGTCCACCCTACAGTGACTACTCCTGGTCCTGTTTTTGCCATTTTCGCTGATGATATTCACTCTCAACATATGTGGCACAGCATGCTTATATAATCTTAAGGAAAAACTTTTATTCAATAGAAACATCCCAGCAACATCGACACAACACACATAACCAAATTCTTCTTTTACACATCCAAAAGCTGAGATAGCTGCAACTTTAAGGGCAAAACCCTCCTGAAAGGAGTTAGGGTAGATCCCCAGTAACGTTTCCTGTCTTAACTCTAAAAATCACCACAAATATTGGAGAGTGAGTCATATTCAAAGCAACACATGTTCAGTGAATACTCTCAACAAAATTAATTATGGTTTATATGTTTATTTTATTTTATACTTACCTAGTCCTGTTTAATCCCAGGACCACAGCAACATTTTCGCAGCTGCATCTGAGGGCACAGAGAACTTAAATTAGCTTAATTTTAATTTCAGCAACTTTTGAACCTCTTATTTTATATTTTCATGTGTTTTCAGAAATGACACATTACAGCAAGTCTGTTCTGGCAGGTGCAGTTCCAACAAAATATATGGGCTTTTATGTGAAAAATATCAGGCTTTTAAATGCATAAAACTCAAGAAAACTCTCAATTTTCACTCAATGATAAGGTCAGCCACAGATTAAGCGTTACAAAATAATGCTGTAAGTATGAATGTAGAATGTGTGTATGTTTGACACAGTATACACTATACGTTGTTTGTTTTTGTATAAAAAATAATATAAAACATGTAACATATGTGTGTGTTATATCCAGATGAATGTTGAACATACAGCTGCCTTACATGGTGGCTGCTGTTATGTTGTACTGAAAAAATAAAGAGATCACATTATAAGCCCACTGTCATTATACAGTAGACATTTTATAACACATACAAACACATGCAGAAACACACATACGGACGGACAAAGTGAAAACACGGAGCAAGAGATACACACTCTGCATCATGTTGATTTGGAAAAAGAAGGCCAGCGCGCACGCACACACACTGACCCAAAAAGGACCCCAAACAATTCCACATTCAACGTTTCTTCCTGTCTGTGCTGTCTGATAAAAGTCTTGCCATCACGTTCAAAAAATTAAAAGGAACAAAGACACATATTTAAGTCCAACACACACACACACACACACACACACACACACACACACACACACACACACACCTCTCAATTGTGCATGTATGAGACTGATAAACTCACACTCAAAAAATGTGGAGATAGACAGATAAACATGTACATACACACACACATTCACACACACACCGCGCCACATGTAACACTCAAGCTTCCATCTACTGTTTCTGCAGCGTATCTTTAATATAAACAGCTTGAATTACATCAAATGTCAAAAAGTACCCATAACATATAAACTGTAAATTCATCCAAACTCATCTAAAATCCAAATTAATTATATATCTGCTTTATCAAACCCACATTCAAATTAATATAAGCAATTTAAAATGGGGTGGGGGATCATTCTGCCTAAATCTGGGATCAATAAGCATTCAGGGGAAATGTTTTCATCTTAATTGGTTTTCTCTCAGATATCAAATACAACAGAAAAGGATAACAAGTTTTACATTTCAGCGTCACATTTTTCTCAGTTTTGTATGTTAGAATTTAATTTACATAGTATAACACAAAGCTAAGTTACCAACTTACACACAAGCTAGATTCAATTATTAAATATAATAAAGTTAAATATAAATGTCCCTTTATGTATGTCTTGATATATTGTTGCTGTATGATAAAATAATTGTCTTTCATCTATTGTGGATGATACACTGACATGCGCGCGCGCACACACACACGAACACACACACACACACACACACACACATTTCCAGCCGTTACGAGTGTGTGTCAGACTTGCATGTGTTAGTGTGGGTGTGTGTGTTTCTTTCTGACAATTTTCCATTCATTTACCAAACATTTTATTTTAGCTGATACTTTATGCAAATGCAGCACACATGGATCGTGTGTGTACATGTGTCACACTCAGCTTTTGATTGTTTGTCTTTAAATGAACCTACATTCATGTTATAGACTTAATAAAAAACACACATACATATATATATTTAAAATTTGCCTTACACACTGTGCCCCAATTTTCATTTATGTACGTAGATGCTTAGAAACACAATCAGACCCACACACACACTCATGGACAGTCACTCACACTAACATGATAATAAATTCTGGAATTTACAAATTAAAACCCCCACTTCTTTAAGAGAAAACATAGTGTGCTAACATAATTGTACTAAAATAAAGTGCTGAAACATTTGTGTTCACAACTGCATCAAATTTACACTTATTTATTATTTAACATTCTACATTTAATCTGCTGTTTGATATTTGATGTATAGCAGCCTATATAACGTCAGTAAGAGCCTGTAACGTCATGCTACGTCAGCTCCCCTCACTGTAGTCACTGTGGGGAAACTAAAACATTCTAGTGAGATGTCTGCCGTGGTCAACACCACGCCTCGAAGACACCAACACAAGCTTTTAACACACACACACACACACACACACACACATACACTTGGGACCACCGAAGCTGATGGATCAGAAGTCTGACAAGTTACCATAATGTCCAGATTAGCGGCTCAAATATCACCTGATATGTGTTGTTTGTTGATGTAATCTGTCTTTCATAGGATGGAGGTTTAGACCAGATTTTACTGAACCAGCTTTAAGTATCACTCTGCAAAACCTACCCATCTAAATAAAAGTCATCAGTGGAGGTTTCACTTGAAGGTTTGTGTGACTTTTGATGGCATAATTGCTGTCAATGACTGAAAGAAAATGGTGGATGGGCACTGAATATTTTAATTCCTTTGCCATCAAAGTAATAACATTTAAAGGGATTCTATATATATTAGGCTGGAGATGATGAGTATAACAACAGCAGACCTGTGTTAAATTCTACCTTCATGAGGGTTATAATGTTCAGTTTTGCTGACACTGTTTCAGAGAAGTGTTTTTTCCTGACTGCAGCTGGCCTCATCAACAAGGCCCGGGACCCCCACTGACACTGACTCTCATTCCACCACACGTACACTACACATTGCATTAATCTCCACATCTGACTCACTGTGTTTCTTTACACATTGCACATATTCTTTACACTTTGTACTTTGAATATTTGCACATCCCTCTGCCACTTTTTTAAATATTACATCATCTTCATTTTAAACTCTGTACAACTCATTTTAAAAACAGACATACTGTGTTTGACATATTTTTATATATTTTTTACATTAATTTTTTAAAATTTGATATTATTTGTTATTAGTGCAGTACTTTTTCTCTTCTTGTGTTTATTGTTATTATGCACTAAAATAGGCACAATCCTTCTATGTAAAAAAAACTTTACAATAAACCTGATTGTATTTGTGATTCTTGGATCAGCTTTATGTTCATTTTGGAAAATGTACTGATTTGTACATGTATTACATACTGACACATGTTTATATTTTGTCCACACCATTATGATATCAATCAGGGTATGTTAAATAACAGAAACACTTTTTTGTGTAACACAATAAATTTACGGCATGTAACGGCATCTCAAACTACATCCTCTAAAATGTTTATTAAGTTAAATCAACACCTCTCTAAAACTTTTTCAACTAAAACATGAACATTATAACCTTCATGAAGGGAGGATTTATTGCAGGACTTGCAGTTTAAACAGTCATCAGATTTAATCCAGAAAAATTATCGCATTGGGACTGAGTGTCAAAAACCCTATCAGACAAGAAGGGTTGTAGCGCTGTGTTTCTGGGAAGGGCTCTCTCATCTTTAAATCCTGCTGTTGGTTTTTATGTCCCAACCCTTTAACAGATATGCAAGGACTCTAATATAGAAAGATGTTAATTGTTGTTGAGGAAAACATAGGTCAGATGTTATATTTAGGTGTTACAATTTTCCCCCTTTCAGGAGGGGCCTCCTAGAGTCCCCTTAAGGTCCCTTGATAATTTCCTGCACCCTGGTTTGAGACGGAATGACCTAGTTTAACATTAAGTCACACCGTATTATTATGATCTGACAAAATCTCGGGATCCATGGTTTTGGTGACAACACTGCTCCGGAATCAGGTGTGCTGTTTGCACCTCAAACTCCTTTTCCAAAGCACTCTAAAACTGAAATGGAAATTAATCAACTTGCACTGTTTAATTCCTGAACTACGTGTGATTGTGGTGATAGGTCATAAAACTCACTTGTTCTGCTGCTTTCAAGTTGCAGCTAAATGGTCGAAATGTCAAATATCCTGACAGGGTCTGCAAAGTGGTTTAAAACTGGTACAAGCAGGTGTGCTTTTATGCTCAGCTGGAGCAAAAAGTTAAACATTCAAGGGAACAAGCTTGTTGGTTGATTGTTCTTTTTAACAACTGAAATGATTCATTAGCCACTGTACTGTACTTGTTGGAACTTGACCAGCCTTTCCCTTTTCCTTGCTCCACATTTCTGCTTTGCTTTCCCATCTATTTTCCTTTTTTTGTCCACCTGCAGATTTTATGTAGATAAACAAACGATCATTCTAATAAAGTATATCAGCCCTTATTTAACATTTTTGGACAGATTAAGTACGGTAAATCCTGGTTTTGAACATGTTTAAAGTCAATTCTACTCCACCTTTTACCTTTAGGAGCTTCTAGCTCTCAAATACAGTATGTTTTTGAATTAAAACCATTGCTCATTGATTTTGCACTGAAAAAAGTGTCAGGTTTTGTTTTGGTCTGTGTACCATTTTATTTTTACCAGGAATAGGACCCATTCATACTTAAGCTATCAAAGGTCACACCCATTTACCTTCCCATACAGGGATTTGACAACTCCCTCAGGATGACTGGGTGTGTTCCATTCAAACCGGCTTGACTCTCAGAGTTTCGGTTGGTGCAAGTGGAAAAAAAGGTGTCAGTTGATCCAAGCTCTCTCGCTAACCGTCCTGCTGCCTCCTGCGTCCCTGCCGGGGGACAACAATCTTCGTTGTTCCTGCTTCTCCTGCTTCATCTGCTGCGTTAGTTTCATTTTCTTTCTTCTCACCATCATGATTTGAGTCCTAAGAATACAAAAAAATTACAGATTCAGGAACACACACACTTGCATGCATGCACACTAACACACAACTGGGTGCAACAAATGACCTGGTCAACACTAAGAACAAATATGTATGAAAAGTTAAATACTATACTGCTGTCAAACAGTGAGTAAGCAAGTATTTAACACAAGCATGGTTTTGGGACTGTAATTAATAGAAAAAACATTACGACCCCTTTTTTGGGTGGGACACAAACTGTGGGTGTCCTGCATTTTTCAATCCCTCCGGCCCACAAGACAGGCTGCTCACAGTTCCCTTTTTTGGAAAACTGACTCTGCATCTGCTACGACCCTATGGTGAGATACACACACACATAATTAACGAGAATATATTACCAAGGAGACTATATACACACTCTTTAACATGCACACAAGCAGTCGACACACACACGCCTGGAACAATACAAATTTCTTGTATGCATGTACTTGGTGAATAACGTCTGATTTTCACATTTTAACCATTAACATGTAATATAATTCTTATAAAACTTTCATTTCATGTATCTTAAATCACTCCCATATTCTTCCTTTTTAATAATAACTATGAATTTTGATCATAGATATTATATCAGCTTTAAAATAAGTTAGTATGTGTGTATTTTATTGTATTTTTCTTTGCTGTTTTTGGCCAGGTTGGTGGTTTTCCTTGTATAATGTTTTCTTGTAACATTTTCTTGTATTTAATTTACAATATTCTTCTGTACATGTTGTTTTTTGCTTCAAGCTATTTCACGTAATGCACACTGAGTTTACTTGGAATAAAATGTGCTAGATAAATATAATTACATTGCCTTGACAAGACATGACAACACAGATTTAATTTACAAATACAAAGTTGGATAATATGTGTTAATATGAATATTTCTCTAGCAGTTATAGCATAAATTGTCTAAAATACTGTAAATTTTCATTTCTGAGAGTTTGACATTAACCTCTTTAGCAGACACTATCTAAATAAACAGCCTATGAGGAGGACCTCTCTATAGCTCTGTGCCTTCAGCTGTACAGTCAGCCATTTTCTGTCAGACATGAGGACGCTTCACTGAGGCTGCACTGCTTGTGAAAGGAAGGCTCTTGTAAACAGTTTTGCCTAAAAAGAAAAAAACACATTCCTACAGCCAGACATGGAGACTAACATATGTAGACATGGTAAACAGCTGTGCTAAGGACACGAAAGGAGGTGATTTATCATTTAGTTATTCCTCACATCACTGCCCACCCAATGAGTGGTCACAACAAAATGGCAGACCAGCATCTTCAAGGATGACTATACAAGTTTAAACAAACATATGGAAGTTAAGGTTAAAATGCAGATAATGTAATTATACCTGCATTTGTATCTTTTATCATTAAGCTGTGTCTGAGACAATTGAACTGACTGACTGCAGTTTTAAAGTTTTGTTTTTTTGTTGTTGAGGAAGATGAGTTTTGAAACTGCCTCTTTCTCATAACAGTTATGAAATATGATTTTAAATTGGTATTATTAGAAGAATTTAACTTTTCATTGAATTGTTTTCATGTTTCCTGAAGAAAGATTTGACTTTGTAAAATTTAAAGTTTTATTTTCATTTTAGAAAATATCTCCTATTTTGCACAATTGTTAAAATCCCCACAATCAAGCCAGTTTGTAGCATTTGTTGTGCATTGCCTTTGTTCAGCATGTAAGGACTCAGCCTGTGTGATGTAATGTGTGAAAAGTGATTGACTTGAAGAGAACTCTATGAAGTGGTGAAACAATGAGAAAAGATGGTTTGGGGTAATCTCAATGAGACAAGAGAAATTTCAATCCAATTAAGGATCTTGTAAAAATTGTAAACTTTTGACTTCACATAAAAGTGTCCCAACGGTGTACGGTGTGTCCAAAAATAACCCAAATTATGTGACAGTTGGACAAACATTGTTTACAGGTTGACCGAATGTTGCCCCCTATAAAAGCAAGAAAAACATCTGGTCACATCTGGTCACATGTGAACGGAACCACAGAAGTGTGTTAGTGCACAACAGCATGGACCCACACACAGGTTTTCTCACTATCTCTCTCTCTCTGTCATTCAAACACACATGATAGTCCGTTACATTTGTTTATTGTACAAATTTAGTTGTGGCCACTAAAAAACTTCGAGGAAGAGGAGGAGGAAGAGGAAGATGGAGGCTGTTCACAGCTGCAGGTAAGGAAGTGAAGTGAGAGCTGGACATGCAGACGCAGTTTGATATGGTGTGAGTTTGTGATCGCACAAAGTTCAGCAAAAGTTCGATCAAATGTTTATTTTGTGTCTGAGTGGACTAAATTATACGTGGGATTTAATACATAGATTGGAGGAAGGGAATTCATTGAAATAATTTGAATACAATATTACCTGTATTGTCTCATTTCTTCTATGTGGTCAAGTCAAGTAAATTTTATTTATATAGCATATGAAAACTTGTATTCTTAGACCCTGGTTGTGGGAATCTTTCCTTGCTCTTGTCCCAGCTTCAGTTATCGACCATCATCATGAACTGTGAGGTGAACTTCTGTTTGGATATATGTGATGTGAATGTGATGATGGCTACACAAACACATTTGCTGTGGTTATTATTAGTATCATGACTGTATAGACAAAACATGCAGATATTGTACACAGTTTTAAGGGTTTTTGTAAGTTTGGTTACACAGTTTATTTTATTTGCATGTATCTGACCCCTATTCAAGCTGAACATTAAAGGAAATTAAATAATAATTTTAACTGCTACTGGACATCATCAACATTATAGCAGTTATAGGTTTGAACTGTTAGAATCAGTACAGCATTGCCCTGATCATCCTTTTATTGTGGAAAAAAGTGGATATGATGTGTTAAGTTTTCAAATTCAAATATTAACCAAAAGGAGCTATATTGATATTTGTTTTATACATTTTTTATCAAAACCAGTTAAAGAATAGGTTTAAAAGAGCTCTTTTCTAAATGCAGTCAGCAACAGCTTCCTCCTTGGTCTTAGCTCTTTACTTTGAACTCTAATAAGAGAATAAAAGTAGCTAAAACACAGTAACGGGCCAGAAAACGTTGAAATAACCTGATATAAACAGTTTTGTAAACTGTTTCATATTTGTCTGTGTCTGGAGTAAAAATATACACATGGCCTTGAAATGTGTCTTTAAAAATGTCTACAAAAAGTAGTTCTTTGTGTGTATAGGCACATGTTGCTGATATCCAAATTGCAAATTAAAGCAGAATTATCTAAAATTTCAGCTGTACATCATCAATATTACACATGTTTGTGCACTGCTCTCATGACCCTGTTATTGTGGAAAGATTACAGAAGAGCCAACATGCTAGAAAAGGAAGGTAGAGTTGATACATGAATTTATTTTATCACTTACTTCAATTAATAGATATCAGTTTAAAATTAAGACTTTAAATTTGTCCAAACATTGTGAATTAAACTGCCTATAATTATTTTTTTATTGATCTTGACGAGGAGTTTGTTGAATTTAGTCCTGGTGAAGCGCGCGCACACACACACACACACACACACACACACACACACACACACACAAAACTTTGATGGTTAAGAATCTAAAACAGCTTAAATTTGCAGTTTGTGGAAGTAAATAAAAATTTGATATGATTTAAAGTTGAAAATATGTTGTTATATGTTGAAAAGGTAGAAACACTGCAGACTGTATTATTTGCGCATTATTATATATTATAATTAACTGTAAAATACAATCTAACTAACCTCTAAATCTAATAAACACAATCTAGTGAAAACATATTCGAGCATCTGTAAGAGTCTGTTTTAAATTCAACATTGTTACTATCATGTGAAAACTCCAGTACTAAACTAAACCCTAACCCTTCTGTTGTGATTTTCATGTTTTAATATCAATTGCTGGTTTACAAACTCCTCTTTAGGTTGAGAAACTTAAAAAGCACACCGATGTCAAGCTGGAAAAGTAGTTACTAGAATTTCCTCTGCAAGTGACACTATATTTGTAGGAAGACAACTCGACACAACATGTGCTGCTCTTACAGTGAAAGTTTTCCTTCCTCACTCCAACTCAGATCCACTGTTTTCTATAGATGCTGATTTGATGAAAATATGGGAAGGTGAATGAAAAGGACTGAGGTAAAGAAAGCAACAGCAAAATGAAGATGAGCCAGGACAGGTTAAAACCCCTCACATAAACAGTTGAGCATACTGTATTTTCACATTTAACTGCTTCTGAAGTTAGTAAAAATGTACAAGTGACCTTAGAAATGTGTCTTAAAAAGGTGAAAAGTCTTTCCTTTTTAGGTGTGTCCCAATGAGCTGAAACACACACACACACACACACACACACACATACACACCTGTCATAATTTAACTTCCGGTGTCAGTGAATAATATTTTCAAAAACGGTAAAGCGTATTTGAACGCAGTGTATATATTATATCACCTCATCTGTAATTAGAGTGCATTCCTTTAAGACAATATTAAATCTTAATTTAAGTCACTGTTTTCATATTTACAGAGAACACAAACACTCCAAATATTCAAAATGAATGAACAATGAATCATTTAAATGAACTCAAATCAGATGTGTTTAAAGACACAGCAAAAATATTTAATCCTTTGTCACTGTGTGAGCTGTTGATTTATCTCTTGTTACGCTCTCTCTTGTTTTAAAAGTATTTTATGTTAAAATCCCTCTCTCAGGTTTTATATGATGAGGCTGTTAATTGGATAAATGTATCCAATCAAATGTGATTTGCGATATCTAGCTAACCCGCCCCTCATATAAAACCACACTTGACTGTGCTGACTGGGCCGCTAGTGTGGATAGCTAGCAGAGCAATATTCATGCTAGGTGAGTGTTTGGATTAAAGCTGCAATCTAACAACGCAGGTAAGGAAGGAACTATACTATTGCACTATAATAGCAATGCCTACTTTGTGTGTAATTCAATCAAATGTCAAGCCTATTATATAAATCCCTTTCGTAAAAAAATCTGTATGCTGTTTTACTCGGAAATACATCACAATACTGAAGCTAACGTTTCACTGTGATTTATTAAGACCAAAGACTGTCAAAACTTTCTCTTCAAAGCCTTTTCTGTTAAATAACAGACCATTTTAGTGGTAAAAGTGTTTTTTTAAGGTAACTAAAGTGGATTACTGGGCACTTAAAATCACCATTCTTTCTCCAAAATAAGTGATGAAACAGTGGTTGTTTGGCTTTAGAAGTAGGGGGAACACAATAAAGTATTAAAAAACCCTTTCTTTTAGTTTCCTTTATTAGAGACCTAATACTTTATGATATATAATGTTG